AAACTTCACAATGACCAATGCAAAAGCAATCTCTCTTTACTCACAAGTAATGTCCCAGCCACCGCTCCAGCCACCCATTCCCAGCCAGGAATCACACCCAGAGCACTGCAGGGGAAAAGGAGCAGGCAGGTCAGACAGGCACTCAGATGTGAAGATGTGACACATCACACACAGGTGAGAGGTTGGAGGCTCCATCTAATCCTCCCCTGCAGCTGACATGCTGAGGTCAAGACACAAGACAGCAGCAATATAAATATGAGATTACTGGACACCTCAGAATAGCTTTCAACCAGATTCTAATAGTCAGCAATTAGCTTATTGCTTAGAAAATAAATGTTATTACTCTAATTTTCTAATATAATTAACAATGAGACTTGCCAGTAGTCTTATCACCCATGTAGGCATGCATTCCTGGCTTTAGAATTCTGTTTTCTTCATTGCACCAGAACCTGACAGCCAAGAGTTTTACTGTAGTCCTGGCCTTAGCAACCCATTTCTGAATCTGGAAATGTATAATGACAGTAAGCCACAAAACAACGTTTTTTCAGTGTTCAGCTACTCCCTACCAATGAAGATGGAACTCTTCATTCTGAAAGCTGTGAACATCTGAAGTGCTATTCCCATCAGACTTCATTTAGCTCAAACTGCTGCCTCCCCTGGCAATATCAAATGCTATAGACAAGAAGATAAGAGCAAGTACAGATACTTCCCAGTGCACTCATCAGCATCTCGCAGCTCACAGACCTCCCAAGCAGAAGTATTATCTTCTTTAAAAGGAATCTCTGATGGATTTTTGCAGGATTTGGAACAAACACATGACGAGAAGAAAGTCTAGGGCTGTCTGAGCCACAGAAGCCATCAGCAACCACCACAAATGCCATCCATCCTCTCTCAGCCAGCACATGCTAAGGGGTTTCTGCCTCTTGCTGCTTCCAGCAGAAGGCTGCTCTGTGATCCCACTGCTCCAGGTAAACCACTCAGAACTGCTGCCAATGGCACAGGAACTGACCAGGCACAATTCTTCACACCCACTGGCCCAGCTGTTCAAGGCTAATTTAAATCAAGTGCCTGTGCAAACCTGGCAGGATTCCTGTGTGAACCAAGAGGGTTCCCAACAGGATCCTGCCAGGTTTTCCTTTACTTAAAGCCTACAAACAACCACCCTGGAGCTACAGTCCCAGAAAAACTGAGCAGCAGACAAAGGGCAGCCACAACTGGCCATGGAATTTCAGTAGGAAATATGTCTATGCCCAGCTTTAAAGACAGTAAGATCCTTGGGGGTGCAGAACTACAATAATCAAGAAAAAATAATAATGCATTTTGAAAAGCTGAAAACTAAAATGAAGAGGGAAAAGAAACCCCAGATATTCTCATCTAAAATGAAACTATTTCCAGCAAAGAGGTGGTACCTGCAAACCAGCTCATCTCCTTTGCATCACAGAATGAGCCCCTCCTGACTCCTCACACAGTGAACACCTTTCTTCAGCAAGCACACTCAGGAAAAGGAGATACAATCCTTAGGAAATTCAAGAGAATTGGGAGAAAGTACTGAAATAAAACAAATCATTTGAAGACATCCATAGCAAAGTTTTCCAGAGATACCCACTTCATTATTGTACAGCAGTCTCCCTGGGAAGTATTAAAGCCCCCAAAAGCATGAGAAACAAATTCATGCCAGAAAGTAATGAGAAAAAACTCTAAAGAACATTCCTGCTCTGCTCTCCAAGGACAGCCACCTCTCTCCCACACCTTCCACAAGAAAAGGTACTGCTCCTTTTCAATGCCCAAAGGCCAACAGAGACAACCTCCACAATGGAAAAACATTTCTTTGGTCAGCACACAAGTGTCCTGGCTTCTCCCTGACTTCCCTTGAGAGTTCAAAGTCTCATTAGAACAAAACCAAAAAGCACAAACTAAATATGAAAGCTCCAAGCTACTTTAAGTCCTCCCCCCTTCCATTTCCCTTTGTGCCCTTCATGTGCCACTTCCTTCTGGAGACACCCTCGGGTATCTCAGCCACCCCAGGAGCCCTGCACATGACATGTTCCTGACATGGTCCAACACTCCCCACCTTCCTCCAGGTAAAGAGGCTACAGCTGCATCCCCAGTACAGCAGATGTTCCCTCACACATCCCAACAAACACACACGACTATTTCAACAGAACACTGAGCCACAGCCAAAAGACTCCTTTCTGAAAAGCTCACCTACCTGGCAACAACATTGTCAAAATTGGGGAAATCAGTTCAAGGCTAAGCTGTTCCACATGGGCCCTTTCCTTTACTCCCTCATTGCTATTGCTGACCACTGGCAGGCAGACCCAAGGACTAGGAACTCTTCAGCCTGGCCATAAAGAGGTGCTTAGAAGCACTACATTGTACAGTTTTCCAAATAGTTTTCCAAATTTAGCAACCAAATCTAAACTTGGTAAAAACCAAAACAAGGCTCAGAAATAAGCTGCACAATACTATACATGAAATATCATCATAAGCCATTATGTTGGTGTCCCTTCAAAGGACACTTTGGGGCATACTCTCTTGAAATATGAATGAGTTAAAACTATTGTCCCCTCCAGCAGCACTTACATTACTCCATATGCCTACAATGCCATCATGGCCTTCCTCTTGTAATAACCCCTTTATTTGAATCCATATAGACAAATCTACAACAAAATAACAGAGCCTTACCCCTATTTTAAGCAACCTGGGGAATTTCGCATGCCCTGCTCCTTCTGCTTTTGACAGTCAAAACTGGGCATTTGGAAGCAGGGCCATCCAAGCCACAAAGAGCAGCAGTTTTCCTTCACACAGCACCACGGGGCAGTTTGTGGGAAGCCCTTCAACCAAAGATTACAACAAGCAGCAGCAGCAGCAATGTTTGCCTCGAGCTGATATTTTTCCTGCCAATCACGAATGTATTTTAAGACAAATCCTAATGCTAAATGAAGCATATGCATTGTAATCTTTCCTGTAAAATTCTTTTTTACTGTAATACATTTAGAGACTTTTATCTTAACCAGTACTTGTTTTTTTCCTTTTTGTAATGTTTTTTTGTGTGCCAGGAGTTCCTTCTTGTTTTTAAGAGATAGAGTTCTACACCACAGACTTTGTTACATTTTGGTTCCTTCAGTATTTTTGTAAAGGCATTATTGAATATTGTAATTGAAATAATTATACTTGGCAAATAAGTAATCTAAGTACACAGTGGAATGTGCTCTCTCTCTTTTCCAACACTGCTCAGTTTTCCATTAGTTTGCAAATGTCAGTGGTCTGCTCTTCCATTACCGTGAATGAGGAGTTTTTTTGAGTCAAACTAAACAGGCTGAGCTGATGCACAGCCTTCCACCCTATACTACCTAATTTAATTTCTTCTCAACTGCTGTTCCTCTGCATTCATACACTCCTGGAAACCACATGCAATAGTTCAGATCATTTTTATGAAAAGGGCACAAAGCATAGCTCAGTTCCTCTGAAGACACTGCTCTGCAAGTATAAATCTGCCCAACCATGAGCAGCAGTGTCTTTGTCCAGAGACAAGGAAACCTCTCAAATTCCAACAGAGTGTGGTTTTCCCCATCTTTCTTTACATGATTTAAAAACTTATGAGGTGTACTCTATGTATCTTTGGGATTTGTTCCAAGCTAGTCAGATTTAATAATATAGGATTCAGTTACGATCAGTAATTAGTCATTTTAATGACAGGTTTTTAACAAGACTTGCCACAGTTATTAGTGTACTGCAGAAAGGATCTGCAGTAGGAACTGAAACAAAAATCCCGAGGGCAGATTATTTCAGTGTATCAGGCAGCACCACCCCGGGATTTCCACCACATGGACAGTTTTTAACAACTCGAAGACAGGTAGATGTTGCACAGCGATGACAGATCCTTTGGCTCCAGTCCTGAACACACAGCACACACACACACCGCTGGTCCCTGTTGTTTTACTGGGCTAACAAGCTCACTGCTACCACTTGCAGAGAACAGATCCTACCCTGCACTGAGGAAATGAGAAGAAAACAAATCACACTTCTAAATCCTGGATTTTACTGGGCATTCATAAAAAATGAATTCATCACCAGAGTCCTCTATAAACTTGTGTGCACCTGAAGCCAAGAAACTTCCAATGTGTTTTTCACAAAACCTCTATGTACAAATTTTGCCTTGTACTAACCAGCAGTGATTTAAAATGCTGAAGTTGTATATACAAAATATTAAAATGTTTCTGGCATCACACTTCTCAAATAACTTGTTTAAGTTACAAGAATTTGCAGTACCCTGTAAGAAATTACTTAAAAATCTATTTCAAGATGATTGACATTTTCATAAAACATCTCTTTTCCTAATATCTCGAAAAATACATTTGTTCATTTGAAAAATATAAATGTCATAGTGACTTGGAAAGTAGATCAGACGAAGGCAAACATCAGCACTAGCACCACAGAAACTGCTGAAGTGCTTTGGTGTTTATTATGTGTTTCACTGCTGGGGTGGTCCAAGCCTTGCACAGGCTCCGTCAAACTGAACCAGCTGAGGTGTCCAAAGTACACGAAAGGTCACGTTTAATTTCACAACACAAAACCTCACGTTTGGTGTTCGGGGGATTTTTAAGTTTTTTTTTTCTTTTTACGCGGTGCATCTAAGAGAACTTCATCCCGCTAAGGACAAGCAGGCGAGCGAGGGCTCTGCGTGCTCCGGGCGGATCCCGGGCCCCCCGCGCTCCGCACCGGGCACCGGGCACCGGGCGGGTCCCCAGGGGAACGGCGGAGCCTCAGCCGGGCACGGCCGGGAGGCGGCCCCGGCCCCGCGACTCCCCTGCACGGGGTCAGACCGTGTGCTTCCTCTACCGAGCAGCTGCCTGCCGTGCTGTCCCGGCCCCGCGGCGATCCGCGGGCACACGGCCGAGGTGAAACGCGCTCCTGCGGCCCCAGCAGCGCCGCACGGCCCGGCCGGGCCCGCCCCTCACACCGCCCGGCCGCAGCCCCGCTCCCGCCGCGGTACTCACCACCTCGGCCAGCTTCAGCCTGCCCAAGGTGCCCCGCAGGTAGTCCAGGTCGCAGCGCAGGCCGCCCAGCCCGCGGCGCTGGCTGACGGGCTCTGTGGTGGGCTGGTAAGGGCTGCTGGCCGCCGAGATCATGGAGGCGCTGGACGCCTCGCCGTCGAAGCCCTCCAGGTCATCGCCGTTCCTCATGGTGCCGGTGCCGCCGGTGCCGCCGGGGGGTGGCCGCGGGCTCCGGCCCGAGCGCCGCGCTCAGCTAAGGCAGCGAGGGCTGCATGGCCGCCCCGCGCCCGCCTCAGGCGCAGCGGCGTGGGGAGAGCCCGGGCAGCATCGCGCGGAGCGGGGCCGCGCTGCGGAGCGGAGCGGTGCCCGGGTGCGGAGCGGAGCGGTGCCTGGGTGACGTGCGGAGCGGTGTCCGGGTGCGGTGCAGAGCTGTGCACAGCGGTGCCCCGGTCCGGTGCGGAAAGGCGCGGAGCGGTGCCGCGCTGTCCCGGTGCGGAGCCGTGCCCCGGCCGCGGAGCCCTGAGCGCCGCAGCCCGCCCCGCCACACGGGGGCGCGCTCCCGGCTCCGCTGCCCTGGTTCCGATGCCGATGTCGGTCCCGATGCCGGTCCGGATCCCGGTCCTGGTCCCGGTCCCGGTCCCGGCAGGACAGCCCAGCTCCGAGCGGCGGCGCCGCAGCCGCTCCTCCCCCGGCGCGGAGCGGAAAGGGCGGGCAGGGCCCGCCCCGGAGGGCGCGCAGCCGGGCGGTGCCTGCGCCGTGCCCGCCCCGCGGGGAGCGCCGCGCACCTGCCCCGGGCTCCGCGCCCGGCCCAGCCCGGCCCAGCCCGGCATGGGCTCGCTGTCCCGCCCGGCCCGCGGCCGCTCGGGTTTCTGCATCCGCTGCTGGTGCCGAGGAGCGCTCACAGCCCGGCCCGGACCTCGCGGGGCCGGCTCAGAGCACGCTCCGGGCTGCGGGAACCGGCCCGGGCTCACGGCCGAGCCCCTGCCCTGGCGGTGCCCACCAGCGGCTCGGGAAGCGGAATCCTCCGCGCCGCTCTCCCACGAGTGTTGTGTTTCCAAACAGTGACATTGCAAGGTAGCCTTGACTGGCTCCGAATCAGGTTTTGGGGGTACTTTTCCTTTTGCTGTGTCACGACAAATAAGGACAAATTGCAACATAGCCTGGCAAATCCAGACGAGTGAAATGCAGCTAAGTCATTTTTTTGAACACAGCCAGACTGCTGTGTACCACGGTGAAGTTCAAATGTTGTGTCCTGTGATCTGCCATGGTTACCAGCCAGGCTCTGATAGACCCGTGCTCCTCTTCTTGTCACTGACAGTCTACACTGTCACCTGTTCCACATTACAGGACTTTAACACATTAACAGTTCTAGCATCTTCCTTTGGTCTCCAAGAGTCTGACTGCTTTTCCTTCTTCTGTTTTCCATGAACACTGTGGATTATGCACCCAAGGATTTCCTTTCCAGTTACCTGTGTGCTCTACTTCATGTCTCCCTTCCAGTTCCCTTGAAACTCCTTTGATCCTTCTTTTCATAGGTTCTTCCCTGTACATGCTATTTTTAATTTCAATATATTTTTCTTCTTTTGTTTAGCCTCTGAATAAACATCCCCAAAGAAGGAGGAGCAAGGAGAGAGCCTCGGAGAGAGAACCAGGGAAAGAATCAGGGGTTTGTTTGGCTACTGTCATGGCTTGGTTAACTGCAGCCACAGCTTCTCTGCTACACCCTGGACCTGGGAGGGGCCAATGCGCTCAAGCAAGGTGGAGTGTTGGGAGAAGTGTAAAAGAAAGTCATTAACCTTTGGTGAAGGATGAGCAGGGAAAGAAAAAAAGAAGACATAAGCAAAGCGTGGAGAAGGAGGGTAACTCTTGCTTGGGTCACATTAACCTGGCCTAACAATATGAAATCATGTAATTGTAAGGGGAAATTCCTGCTATGGGACAGAGCTAGACTAATAGGAGTTTACAGTCTCTTAATTCAGTTCTTGTATAACTGGGGAAATCACAACTCTCACAAAGCTCTTTTTCTTGCAGGAACTATCACAAGTATGTGGCTGCCACTTAGGAGAGCATCTCTGAATTGTAGCTTAAGGCTCCATGGCTGTTTCAGGAACACAGGTTATGCATATTTACCCACAGAGACATTTAGCCTTTATTTTCAAGGACTGAAGCACTCAGGATAGAAAACTATCCTGAGCAAAACAAAGAAAACATTTCTGAAACATCCAGTGAGTATTATTTTGTTCAATCTTTTGCAATTCTAACCAAAACACATCAGTGTGTTGAAAGAGAATCAAAAGGTGGTGTTGAAGAAGGATGAAGGGGGAAGATGGTTGAGTGGTTTAGGAAAAGGTGACGTGGTAGGAGATCTTTATTCTGGCTGTTTGCTTAGTGCCTCCTGCACAACCTTGTGCAAACTTCTTAATAACTTCCTTCTCCCATGGGCTGGAGGACATGAAGTGTAAATGTATTTAAATCATGAGAGCAGTTTGGGGGTGCTGGGAGGTGAGGACACACTGAACCCCTCTGGTTTTGAGCAGACAATTCCTGGGGTAGGGAGAGCAAGCAAGCCCCAGCTGGGTGTTCCTGGGGCAAAAGGAGGGCTGGTCCCAGCTGAGTGTCCCAGCTCTCAGGGCAGCTCCCGAGTGTCCTAGCTCCCAGGGCAGCTCCCAAATGTCCCAGCTCACAGGGCAGCTCCCAAATGTCCCAGCTCCCAGGGCACAGCCCTGCCAGCAGGGCCCACGCCGAGCCCAGGCTGTGCTGGGGATCCCTGGCATGCTCCTGGACGGGTGGGTGGGCTGGACTGACTTGGCAAGGCCTGCTGAGGCTGCTGCCAACATTTAACAAAGGAATCCTTTACACACATTCTTGCCTGATACGGCACCTTTTCAGCTCTGCAGCACGGGAAGGGAAAAAATGTCTACGTTTAATATGTAAATAAAAGTACTGATCCAGGAAAAAGGTCACTGCATTCATCCTAGGTAGATCAGATCACTCTCAGATAACTTTGGCTTTACAAGTTTCCAGCACAGCCTGCCATTCCATTGTGTGCCTGCTCATGGAGACCAGGAAAGTGGGGAACTGGGTCAATGACCAGCACACAAGACACCACCATAGTATCGACCTAATCAGATCAGGGAATTCATCACTGACTTCTTCACATCCAGCTAAAATACAACTGAAGAGTGAACACAAGGAAGAAACAGTTCAGAGAAAAAAAAACAAGTATGCTGTTCACAGACACTGTAATTAAATGATCTGTTTGTTACAGAACAGTTAGGTCAGCTTTGACAGAATTAAAAACTCCCCATCAGAAAGGATCTCCAGGACACTGGTCATAAATTAAAACCAGCTGGTGAATTAGGTGTAAAAAACATTTGAAAGAGAACCTTAAATATTCTCAGTGAACAAACTCAACAGAGACCCTCATCTCTCAACCTTCATCTCAGCTATTCCTACAACCTCTTGTAAACTTGTGAACCAATTGTGGGTTCTTTTCATTAAGCACATTTAAGTGTTATTTCCAAGATTAAAGCCTGTGATTCTTTTCCAGCAGAATAGAAATACCAACTTAAACCCAGATTTTTAAAGTGTATTTATGTAGTTTCAACACACTTAAAAGTATTTTAATGCTTAAATATAAAATTTTGTAGATCTGGATGGTGCTTATTAAGAATGGTGCTTTAATGCAGTTAAGAGTGTAAAAGGCATTAGGATCCTACCAGGAAGGTTACATCTTTGCAAATACCTGAAAAGAGCTGAGAGGTTCTTTAAGAAAAAGCCCCGGTATTTCCACATGACCTACCAAAGGGAAGGAGCACTGGTACGCTGCCAAATTCCAGGAGAGCTGAGCAGTGATTAGAGTTTAACTTTGGCATCAGACAGGAGGCTTTTTTACCCTTGAAATTCTCAATCTAAAAAGTACTGAAGCTTTTTCTCAGCTTTTCAGTTGGGGGAAAAGGAAAAAAACCAAGCCCCACCCTCAAAAGCTAATAAGGAATTTGCTTTAAGAAAACATCTGGTAGCTTTGAGTGCCTTAGTGCAAGGAATTGTGCATTTTCCCAGTGTGGGAGTGTGGTGTGCACACTGGTTCTGAAGCCATGAGCAGCATGGGAGGTGGGCAAATCATTTTGCTGAGTCACAAGTAGGAATTAATACAAGAAGAAGAAACTGCAAGTTCTGACACAGCCTTTAAACAGAAGGAAAACTGTCTGGGATGGTGGGGACTCGTGAGGTCAGTTCTCTGCAATGCTGCTGAACAGTGTGACAGTTCCATGTCACCATCCAGCCACAGCTGGGCACTGCAGCCTCCCAGCATGACACCACCAAAAGGCACCTCAGGAGCAGTGAGGAGACCTGGATTCTGCAGCAGGAGTCAAAAACCAGTCCTACCAAGCAAGGAAAGGGGTCAAAGCACAACCCCTTGTTGTTGTTCAACAAGTTCAGGGTGAAGCAGAGAGAACAGAAAGAAGCTGAGGTGAAGGGCAGCCTTGAAGAGCTTCTTGCAAGTTCCAGTGGCTGAAAGCACCATGCCTGCTTGGCCGGGGTCTCTTGGGCACACACCACAGCACAGTGAGGGACTCCTGGGCTTTCCATCTTGTTAAAAAAGTGCAGCTTCAGTGGCCAGAAGTGGTAGTGAGTCCTACTCCGCTCCAGATTTTCACCACCTCCACCTGAATTCCAGCCCTGAGGCCTTGGAAGATAAACAGAGCAGCCCTGGAGCTCCCCAGGCCTGAGCCACTGGTGACAGTCCCCAGTCCCTGGGGTGCCACCAGCTGTCACAGCTGGGATCAGAGGCAGCAGCAGCTGAAGTCCCCACAGGACCCTGCCAAGGAGCTGTACAGGATTAAGGGGAGAGGTAAAAGTGTCAATTCTGGAACTTCACCATCACCATCAGGAAATAGTGTTTCCCTTTCAACAAACAAACAAACAAATCCTCCTCCCCCACCAAAACCAAGAAAGGCAATGCTGCCAAACAAATCAGTCAGACCCTTACCTTGCAGACATGAATACGACTTCATGTGCTTTTAACAATCAGCCATTCACAGAACCATTTTATTATTTTTTTTACTCCAGGATTAGGGACTGACATCTCATTCTTTATCACCTACTGGTCCAGTTTGGTGGTGAAGAAGTCACTGGCTCCTTTCACCTCCAAAAATTTCTAAAGGATATCTGCAATCTGCAAGTGCCA